ATTAGTTCAACCATTGTGGAAGACAGTGTGGCGATTCCTCAAGGACCTAGAAATAGAAATTCCATTTGACCCAGCAATCCCATTACTGGGTATATATCCAAAGGATTATAAACTGTTCTACTATAAGGACATTTGCACATGTATGTTCATTGCAGCACTGTTTACAATAGCAAAGACCTGGAACCAACCCAAATACCCACCGACGATAGATTGGACAGGGAAAATGTGGCACATATACACCATGGAATATTATGCAGCCATCAAAATCTATGAGTTTGTGTCCTTTGTGGGGACATGGATGAACTTGGAAACCATCATTCTCAGCAAACTGACAGAAGAGCAGAAGATCAAACACCACATGTTCTCACTCATAGGTGGGTGTTGAACAATGAGAACACATGGACACAGGGAGGGGAGCACTACACACTGGGGTCAGTTGGGGGGAAATAGGGGAGGGACGTTGGGGGGTGGGGAGCTGGGGAGAGATAGCAAGGGGAAAGATGCCAGATATAAGTGATGGGGAGGAAGGCAGCAAATCACACTGCCACGTGTGTGCCTATGCAACAATCTTGCATGTCCTTCACATGTATCCCAAAACCTAAAATGTAATAAAATAAATAAATGGGGAAAAAAATCTACATACAAAAATCAGTAACATGTCTATACACCAATAACATTTAAGCTGAGAGCCAAGTAAAGATTGCAACCCCATTTACAATAGCCACAAAAAAATAAAATACCTAGGAATACATCTAAGTGAATAAGTGAAAGATCTCCACAAATAGAACTACAGAACACTGCTGAAAGAACCCATAGATGACACAAACAAATGGAAAACAATTTCATGCTCATGGATTGGAAGAATCAATATTGCTAAAATGGCCATACTTCCCAAAGCAACCTACAGATTGAATGCTATTGCTATCAAATTACCAACATCAACTTTCACAGAAGTGAAAAACACTTCTAAAATTCATATGGTACCAAAAAAAGTGAAAGAAAAATATTAGTAACTCAACAAATAAATGGGCATAGCAGACATTCAATTTCAGAGAGAAGGGAAATTAAAAGGTCAATTTTCTAAAGAAATGAGTCTTAGTCTTGAAGATAATTAGAAACGTAGGTTTTCTTTTAAAAGTATAAGTAGATAGTATTTCCACCCAATAATAATGTCAATCAAGTTTTGGTGAAAATGAGAGGAAATAGGGACTTTCTCTTGGAGACAACTTGGTTGTATTTGATAAAGTTAAAAATATGCACACTACTTACAGATATATCCATATGTATTTGTGTTTCAGGATATGTGAAGAAAGACATTCACTATAGCATGTTTTTAAGAGTGAAGACTAGAAAAATCTAAGCATCCAGCAATAAGGAAATGGACAAATAAAATGTTGCATATTCATGTGATGGACTTCTATAAAACAGCTAAGATAAATGAATTCTATCTAATCTATATTAAACAGATTTCAAATATATAATACTGTGTAAAAAATCACAAAATGATAAGTACAATATGCTACCATGTACATAAATTACAGCATAAGATATGCTATATTTGTCTGCAAATATAAATAAGTAAAAGTATTTTTAAAACTGTTTGGCTTCCTCCTTTCCTAATTGAATATCCTTTATTTCTTTTTCTTGCCTGATTACTCTAGCTAGAACTTCCAATACTATATTGAAGAGGAGTGGTGAGAGAGGACATCCTTGTCTGGTGCCAGATTTCAAAGGGAATGCTTCCACTTTTTGCTCATTTAGTATGATATTGGCTGTGGCATTGTCATAAATAGCTTTTATTATTTTGAGATCCATTCCGTCAATACCTAGTTTATTGAGAGTTTTTAGTATAAACAGTTGTTGAATTTTGTCAAAGGTCTTCTCTGCATCTATTGAGATAATCATGTGGTTTTTTTCTTTGGTTCTGTGTATGTGGTGAATTACGTTTATAGACTTGCGTATGTTGAACCAGCCTTGCATCCCCGGATGAAGCCTACTTGAATGTGATGTATTAGCTTTTTGATGTGCTGTTGCAATCGGTTTACGAGTATGATATTCAAGATTTTTGCATCTATGTTCATCATGGATATTGGCCTGAAGTTTTCTTTTCTTGTTGAGTCTCTGCCAGGTTTTGGCATCAGGATGATGTTGGTCTCATAAAATGATTTGAGAAGGATTCCCTCTTTTTGGATTGTTTGGAACAGTTTCAGAAGGAGTGGTATCAGCTCCTCTTTGTATGTCTGGCAGAATTTGGCTGTGAACCCATCTGGACCTGGACTTTTTGTGGTTGGTAGGCTATTAATTGCTGCCTCAGCCTCAGCCCTTGTTATTGGTCTATTCAGGGTTTCGACTTCTTCCTGGTTTAGGCTTGAGAGGGTGCAAGTGTCCAGGAATTTATCCATTTCTTCCAGGTTTACTGGTTTATGTGCATAGAGTTGTTTGCAGTAATATCTGATGGTGGTTTGTATTTCTGTGGAATATCCCCTTTATTGTTTCCTTATTGCATCTATTTGAATATTCTATCTTTTCTTTTTATTAATCTGGCTAGTGGACTGTCTATTTTGTTGCTCTTTTCAAAAAACCAGCTCCTGGATTTATAGATGTTTTGAAGATTTTTTGTCTCTATCTCTTTCAGTTCTGCTTTGATCTCAGTTATTTCTTGTCTTCTGCTAGCTTTTGAGTTTTTTTAATCTTGCTCCTGTACCTCTTTCCATTTTGACGATAGGCTGTCGATTTTAGATCTTTCCTTGCTTCTCATGTGGGCGTTTATTGCTATATATTTTCCTCTAGACACTGCTTTAAATGGGGGAAACTAGGGGAGGGACAGCGGGGAGTGGAGAGTTGGGGAGAGATAACATGGGGAGAAATGCCAGATATAGGCGATGGGGAGGAAGGCGGCAAACCACATTGCCATGTATGTACCTATGCAACAATACTACATGTTCTTCACATGTACCCCAAAACCTAAAATGCAATAAAGTATATATTTTTTAAAAAACTGTTTGGGCAGGAAATACATTAAACTATTCCTAGAGGAAGCTTTGAGTGGAGGGCAGAAAGGCGAATGAGACTGGGAATGTTGGTTTAGTTACCTAGATCTGAAGCTTAAACAATCACGTTTTAGCCCTTAAAAAAACTAAGTTATGATTTTAAAAACAGTTATTTCTATATGAGAAGAATATGTTTTGTTACACTATTCTTACACTATTCTTTATATTTTCTGTGTTTTTTAAATGTCTTAAAGTTTAAAAGAAAAACGTATTTCATTCCAGCCCCACTGAATAAATTTACAAACATTTTCAAAATCTAAACTTGAATTAGGGACACTAGCTATTGTGCCCACATATCTCAATGCAGTTCTCAATATTGTTTAGTAAAAATGGGGAAAATAACCTATGATAGGACTCTAACAAGCGTAGTGTATACTTACTTTAGGAGGCAGATGCTTGAGCAAATTGTAATATGATTTGAGCTGTACTTTTAGGACAGTTCATCTTGAAAACTTGTGAAAGGAAAGTGAAATGGAGAGATAATTTTTGAGGCTATTAAAGGAGTCTAGGTAAGAAGTAATGTGTTAGCATTAATAAATGATAAGAAGTAATAAACATGGAAGGAAAGAGTGAATCTATTTTCTCTCTCAACCTCCTTTACTATCATATCAAAGCACCAGTTACTTTAAAAATGTTGATTAAGTGCAAGATATATTATCTTAATTCTTAACTCTTCAATTGAAAAGTTCTCATTAATTTTGAGAATTAAACAACTAGTCTTTATAAACTGTCCATAGGTAAATTTTAAGCCATTCAAGTATGAATTTGACATTACTCTTTTGTATATTCATCTACCATGACCAAAATATGAGAGGTTTGTAACCCATAGTACTTACAAAATTAATATCTTTTGCTCTTAGATTTAGACATCTTTAACAAAACGCTTTTTAAAGCAAGATAATTGAACTATAACTTAACGCGTGCCAGTCAGTGTAGTGGCATTTTCTGTATATTTTTTATTTAATCTTTACTTCAGCATAGCAAGGTTGGCATTGTATTTTATCCCTCAATTAACTGGGACCTGAGGCTCAGAGATGTGAAATATCTTGTCCAAGTTCAGACTAAAGCTAGTAAATGGTGATGCTGAGATACAAACCAAGATCTAATTCCCAATCGCATGCTCTTTCCACACCAATCTAATATCTTTCACTAACCAACAAATTTATCTAATAAACGAAATTAGGGATACTAGCTATTGTGCCCACATATGTCAATGCAGTTCTCAATACTGTATAGTAAAAATAGGGGAAAAATCTATGATAGGACTCTACCAAGAGTAGTGTATACTTACTTTAGGAGGCAGATGCTTGAGCAAATTGTAATACGATTTGAGCAAGTTCCAAAAAGTTCCAAGTGGCATGAATGTTGAAAAGGCTATTGTCATTAAAACATCTTTATTTTTTAAAAATAGCGAGTTATTTTTATTTAAAATGTTTTTATAAATAATTTTGATAGAGTATACTATCTCTTTTAGAGCTTTTATGGTCACCTATTTAGTGCCGGGGGCAATGGCTCACTCCTGTAATCCCAGCACTTTGGGAGGCCAAGGTGGGCAGATCACCTGAAGTCGAGAGTTTTGAGACCAGCCTGACTAACGTGGAGAAACCCTGTCTCTACTAAAAATACAAAATGACCTGGGCACAGTGGCACATCCCTCTAATCCCAGCTACTCGGGAGGCTGAGGCAAGAGAATCACTTGAACCTGGGAGGCAGAGGATGCAGTGAGCCGATATCATGCCATTGCACTCCAGTGACAAGAGCAAATCTGTCTCACAAAAAAAAAAAAAGAGGCAACTTAATTTTTTTTTTAAACCCTAGTTCTCAAAATGAGGTTAATAATACTACTTATCTCACAAGACTGTTTTATTAATGGAGATACTATTACTTACTGTCGTAACTTACTAATGGAGATTAAATGAGATAAAACATATAAAGCATTTAGCAAAGTGTCTGATATATAGTTGGTGTTCAATAAATATTTGCAGTTATTATTTTGTATTCTATTTTATAAGTATTTTGCTATTGAGACAGTGCAAATCTTTTATAAGAAACCCAAAATATCTATAACCTTCTACAGCACAAGAGAATTATATTTTTGGTACTCAATATACAATCATAGAGCATGCACAATCTCCAATTTCAAAGGCATCTACAAAAACATTACCTCTCTTCATCAAATTAACAGTATGTGAATCATCTAACCAGTCAACTAAACACTGGAATCATACACAGTACCTACATTTTATAACAATTAATTTTTTAAGTTAGTCTGACATCTAGTGGAATTATTGTAGTCATTCAAAAGATGTAAAATACATACTTTAAAAAAAAAACTAACAACATTCTATTAAGTAAAAGACCAATATCTAATGTAATCTTTAAAATAAAAAAGGAAAATAAATTTGAGTAGTGTCTATGTGGCAGGTACTCTGCAAAATGCTTCCAAATACATTATCTCACTCATTTGTTCAAAGTAAGTATTTTGCACCTGCTATGTGCGAGGCTTGTATTACATAAAATATTTCTTAAAGTAGATGTGATTTCTGACCTTTTTGAACATATAGATCAGTAGGGATTAATTTATTACACAAATTATTATATAAATGAATATAACTTGTGTTTAGAGAGATGAAGGACTTACTAATTTAGTACAGAGTTTAGGAAGGGCCTCTGAGAAAGTGATGAGCCAACTCCTAAATAATTAGTAGCAAGAGAGATTTAAGGCAGAAGAAATAACATGGGTGAAGGTCCTGAGGTGGGAAAAGGTTTGTTACATAAAGGAATTTAAAGAAGGGCAGTGTGGCTACAGTTGTGAGTAGGGGAGACAGCTGTACCAAATGAGTTTAGGAAGGTAGGTGGCAGTCAGGTTAAGTGGGGCCTTTTGAAAGAGTTGCCCCTATGGGGGATTTATGATTTTACCACTTTATGATACGTATAATAGAAATCATTTGAAGTACAGTCATTCCTCAGTATCCACAGGGGATTGGGTCTAGGACGCCACTCTTCCCCCTCAGATGCTCAAACCCCTTATATAAAATGGCATAGTATTTGCATATAACCTATGAATAGCCTCCTGTAAAGAGATGATGCTTTAAATCATCTCTAGATTACTTATAATACCTAACACAATGTAAATGCTATATAGTTATTATACTGTATTGGTTTTTATTTGTATTGTTTTTTTGTTATGTTGTTGTCTTTAATTATTCTTTTTTTCAAATATTTTCTATCCTTGGTTGGTTGAATCTGTGCTTTCACAGTCCATGAATATGAAGGACCACTTGCAGTTAAACAAGGAGAGATATACAAGATACATGGTTTTAAAAACACTCT